TTTCTTCATTTACTTCCATTCTTATTTTGACATAAATCATTATTCATTCATTTATTAGATTGTTTTATTCTTTTTATCAATACATTTTTATCTGTTTTTTTTGATATTGTCCATCACTTTTTGTATTATTTTTGTTCTATATCATATGGATGTTTATATTGGAGCATTGTTTCATATGATATTTCTTGTATTATTTATTTCCTGTATATTTTCTTATTAGTCAATATGATAATACCAAAATGAAAAATTTTAAATTTATAAAAAAAAGAAAAAATCCCCAATTATTTTTAATAAGCATTTCAATGAATAAAGTAAGTCAATCTCTTAGTTTGTATTACCGTTTGTTGTTAATAATTTTATTTTTATTTTTTACATTGAAACAAACTAACGTTGTTGTAGAAAAGTTTTTTCCAAGTAAATTGTTCTATCAATGGGTTACTAGAAATGGAAAATATAGTCAAACAAGAGAACTTGCTGCCTTTAAAACTAACTCATTTTTTAATCGATATTTACACTTTAATTCTTCATATGACTTATCAAATTACTTAAGTCGTTACGTTCCAGAAAGAATTGAAATTGGACCAATATTTGATCATTTATTATTTAGTCAGACTAACACAGCAACAATGAGAGAGTTTGTTATTGATATTGATATAGATGATTATGATGATGTTCGATATTGCTGTTCTTCAACCCAAGTATGTAAAAGGTGTTGGATATTAATATCATGTGCTGCAAAAGTCATTCACCACATTTTCCAGGAACAATTTGGAATGAAACATATTCTTAATGTTTTTAGTGGAAGAAGAGGAATACATTTCTGGATTTGTGATGAACAAGCATTACATTTCAATGAGCAAATGAGAACATACATTACAAAATATTTCAGTCTAGTTACTAATCAATGCATTAATAAAGATAACCATCCAATCATTGATATTCATGAAGAATATCCTTTATACAATGAAGTTTATCAAATATTAGAACCATATTTTGAAGATTATTGTGAAAAACAAGAAATCTTCAAAAATGAACAAAGAAAAGAACAGTTATTGAATTTATTACCTCAAAATGAAACTAGTCAAGTTATTAGAAAGTTCAATAATCTCAGTTGGACTTTATTGAAAGAACATTTCGTTTGAAATTCTTTATTCTTCATAATATTCTCTTTCATAAAACAATAAATAATAGAATAGAAAAATAATAAAACAACATTAATGAGCATTGTTTTTACATACCTTTATCCTCGTATTGATACTAATGTTTCAGTTCAATTGAACCATCTCCTTAAAGCTCCATTCTGTATTCATCCATCAACAAATAAGGTATGTGTTCCAATTAATTTTAATACAATTGATTCTTTTGACCCAAACAAAGTACCAACTCTTCAATCTCTTCAAGAATCAAAACTATTATCTTTTTATTCCTTTAATGATTCAATAGAATTATTTTCAAGATTTGTAAAAGAGTCAATTCAATAAAGTTGTTTTTGTTAATTCTTTCAACGTAAAAAGGTGAAAAAGAATGAATGAAATTATGAGAAGTTTTTTTAATGTAACTCTAATGCAATTAATTGTGATGTAATAAATGTGTCATTTCCAGCAAATACTGTAGAATTGTTTAATCCTTGATAATAACGATGGGCATAGGCACAAATAATTGATTGTTTAGTTGGGTCATTAATTTTAAACGCACAACTAACTTCATAGATTGGTTGATTGCCATTAAAGAAAGACCCAGAGTCAATATTCTTAAATATTTTTAATCCATTTGAAAGTGCAAATATAAAAGCTTTTGAATCAATAGCCACTTGAAAAGAAGAGAGTGATGGAATGTTTGAATGATAAGCACCAAATATATAGTTATCATTAGTAATGATAAGTGTAAGTATATTTTGTTTACCAATAACAGATGCATTAAAATTACTTTTATTGAATCCATTTATCTTTGAGTCATAAACTACATTAAAAGAAGAAAATCCAGTTGCTTCTAATAATTCTTTTCCATAACCAAAAATTTCATTTTCTTTTAATAAGTGTTCTGTAGGAATAAGATTTAGTTGAGTTGATGTCATTTGATAAAACAAGAATGAAATATCCCATTAATTTTAGTAGATTTAAATAATAGAACAAGTTATTCTACAAATTCTGATTAATTCTAACTTCTTCTGAGTATTCTTTGGTTTAATGGTTCTTTCGTTGTATATTCAATTGAAATTCATTTGTTATTCTAATTTTCAAATAAAACTGAATTAAATTTCATAAAAACATTCATTTAATTCAACATTTTCGTCAATGTTTATTCTTCTTATTCCTTCTTCCCTTTATTCTTTTTGTTCCATTTTGGAATAAGAATTAGTACTAACACTCTCTTTTTCTTCTTCACTTGGAAATAAACTTCCTTCTCCATAACCATATCCTCTTTGTGGGATATTCTTTATAACAGAATTAAATTGAGAAATAAAAGACCTAGAAATACCACGTTCAATACCAACACTTTCTTGAATAGAACATAGTACATCATTATAATTCTCTATTTCACTGTTTAATAAAATGTCATACCCTCTTTCTTCAAAAAGCCCATGTGCTTGGTCCATTTGTTGTCTGTCAAAAGAAGTACGTTGTGTATATAATGAATTTTTAGCAGAGTAAATGAATGCTCTGTTTTGAATTAATGAATAAACCATTGCTTGACCTTGTTCATTATGTAATTCTGTTGGTAAAGGAAAGAGTTTGATTGCCATAGAATATGGAAGACGAATAGGAATTGGTGATTTGTCTTTTGGTTGTGTCATATAAACAGTATATAAAATAAAAAGAATAATTAACTTCTGATTAAGTTGTTTGCATGAGTCAAATATTTCTAAACATGTTTCATAGAATGTATTAAAAATACTCTCAACTTTATCATTTGTTAATGATTCTAATAATAATTCTTTGTTCATACCTAATTCTCTCCATATTTCTTTAAATGACTGATAAGAAATATGTTCTAATGCTTCATTCTATAATTTCAGTATGTAAATAAATAAAATTACCATTTTAATAACAAACTGAAAACCTTTCTACTACTTTCATAATATCTGTATATATAGCGTTATGAGCAAGTTCCATATATTCCCTTGTATAAAAATTGTGGACTGTAACAGTTGGTTGATCTTTTTTTTTCTTTGACTGAGATTCATTATCAATAGATCCATCTATTTCTTCCTCTTTGATATTTGTATTAAAATTTAATTCTTTAGCAGGAGTTAAATCAACAAATGGTAATTGGTCTATATCAACACCATTTTCTTGATTGTTTTTATTACCCTTTTCATTAGGATTTGTGTCTTGCATTTGAAACGATTTAAGTTTTTTTTCTTCTTTAAACTATAATTATACTAAAAATTATAATAACCAATAATACAACGGAAATAATAAAGGATTAATGATAACAATCTTCATTTTGAATGAAACAAAAGGAAAAGAAATTAAGGAAAATGGTTGTTTTACTTATGAATTAACTTTGAACTTCAAGAAACTGATTTAATTAGTGTATATTCAAGTTTGAATCCATTTTTATTCATCTTCAAAAAATAATTTTATAATTTATTTTTATTACAATAATTACTAAATAAATCTTTTGATAATTTATTTGAAAAAAAGTAGAGTTTATTTGTATGAAAAAGCCCTTTTTTGTATTGAACTTTAATTTTCATTTAATGATTGCTATTTTCTTCACCCTCTATTTTTCATGCTTTGGTAAAATTCTTATTTGTGGTGAAACAGTAGTGAGAGAAGATCAAAGCATCACTTATGTGAACTTTAAACAATACCAATATGATACTTGTATGAATGAAAATGGTCAATATTTGAAAGTAAATAAAAATAATAATATCTATGAAATAAAATATTATGACAAAGATTGTAACGTTCAACAAGGAGATTCTGCTGAATTGAGCAATTGTACTGAAGTTGATCAATTACCTGATTATAATATCACAATAAGTTTATTCAGTCAAACAGAAGAATGTAATGAATTAGAAACATCTGTCAAACAATATATATTGTTAGATACATGTCATAACAAAACTAAATATATAAGAGATGGTACTACTGTCAGTTGGAAACGATATGTTGATGACGATTGTACTGTAAATAATCCAGTATTTATATCTTATAAAATAAAGTGTAATATATGTAATACTAATAATCAATTTACTAATGGAAAAGCAATGGTAAAATGTGTGTTGCCTGAAAATGAATATATATGTGGTAAAAAGAATATAAATAATGAACGACAAGTCTTTACCACATTTACAACAGGTTTATGTGTTAGAAATGGAGAGTCATCTTCATACAAATATTATAATGAAATAGATAATGATGCTATTGTTATTAAATTAAATTCTTATAGTGATTCATCTGATTGTTCAACTGTCCCAACTATAACTAAACCAAACATAGAAGATTGTGAAATTGGTTCGCTTAATGAATATGATGGTTATTTAATTGCTCAAATGGAAAATGAATGTAGTGATGATCAATATTCAGAAAAATATTATTTTAAAACTGGTGTATGTTTAGATAAACAAAGATATGAAAATACAAAAGATGGACTTAATGTTATTACATACAATGAAGATACCTGTGAAACTATCAATAAAAAAACTACTTTTAAATGTATGTCATGTGATGAAGCTAATAAACAAGTTATTCATTGTGAAGAAGTTAAACAAGTGTTTTGCTCACATAAAAATTCAAATAACCAAGTAAATGAAGTAGAACCATTTTGGGTTAATGCCTGTAACCCATCATCAAATGGGCTTTATGAGAAAGTTATTTTAAAAGATCAAAAATATAATGTATATCGTTATAGTTCAATGTATTGCAATGGAACAAAATTCCTTTTCAATACTTTTAAAGAAGAGGAATGTTTTTCTTCCTATACCCCATTAAAAGATGTAACAAAAAAATATTGTCTTAATAATATTTGCAAAGAAGGAACAAAAGACATTGATATTATAACTGATATTTGTGTAAATAAACAAAAATATTCTAGAGGCAATGATAAAATTGTTTTAACCAGATATACAGATGAAGATTGTACTATTATTGCTAACACAAATCAATACCCAAATGGAAACGTTTCTCTTAGTGGAATAGACTTAGTAATTTTCAGTTATACAAGAGGTAATAAAATATATTGCGGTAAAAGGGATGATGAAGGAAATGCAGGATATACTATTATGTATTATTTAAATGAATGTATAAGAAGAGATAATAATACTTTTATAAAAATGGAGTTAAACAATAAATACCAAATTACTCAATATGATGATAGTGGATGTACATTACCTAATTCTAAAAAACAAATTGAAACTTTTGAAACTAATGAATGTACTGATAAAATTGACAATATCATTGCTACAGAATATTCATTATTAAATAGTCAATGTGATAGTATTACAAGTGAAGAAATTAAATTGTATCATAGTGATATTTGTATTGATTCAATTAAGTATCAATGGGATAAAGGTAATTTAATAAGAGAGAAATATAATGATAATTTATGTCAAGGAACTATTAAAGAAAGTATTGAATTAGAATGTGATAAATGTCATATTAATAATAAATCTCCTGATAATACAAATAGTATAATTAATTGCACAACAGTTATACATAATGATGAACTGGTTATTTGTGGAATAAGAAATAGAGATACTTCAGCTGTTTCATCTTTTTATCAATACAATTTAAATAGATGCTATAAAACGTCTAAAAAGACATCATTGATGGTTTTTAAAATATCTAATCAAAATCATTATACAATAAGAACATTTTCTTCTTCAAGTAATTGCAAAGGAGGAAATTTTAATGATAGACTGTTATCGAATGTTGAATGTAAAAATGAAGAACCAGCATTATCAACTGCATTTATTTATTATGACTCAACAAATAAAAAATGTTCAAATTATGAAAAAGGAATTCTTGTAAAAAATATAGTATTTGCAACTTGTGCAGAAAGAAAAAAGTATTTTATTGGAGATAATGAACTTCAAGAATTTATTTATACAAATGATGAATGTCAAGGTACTTATATTCAAAATAATTATCAATGTAATGAATGTTCATCATATCTAGAAGGAAGTATATATGTTCATTGTTCATATGTTTCGAATAATACAATAAGCATCTTTAGTTACCTTTTAGTATTATTATTTATAATGTTGATTTAAATTTTTTTAAATTGAACTTCTTTGATTACAAAACATATTTAATTTACTTCTTTATTTAATAATCTTTTTTCTTGTTCCTGAATTCTTAATAACTTACCTTTTTGTCTTCTTCCACGACCAAATTTCATTGAAATTGAAGTAGCTTCTATTACATCAACTTTTTTTTTTAATATATTAGTTTCTTCTTTCTTAGGTTTCTTTTCTTCATCTTTATTTGTACTGTATTTATCAAACTCTTCTTTTGACTGTACAAATTGAACGTCATTATGATCTTCAATTTTTCCTGCATAGACATCATCTAATTTTTGATTTTCTGTGACTCTACTTGCTCCAATTCCTTTACCTGTTTTATTTGCTTTAATTTCTATTGACGTAATTCCATCCTCATTTTTTCCTAACCCTTTACCTCTTCTCCATCCAGTAGCCTCAAGTTGGCTAACAAACAAAGAGAACATTGGGTCATTTAAATCCATGAACTAAACAATTCTCAGTGTATTTTTGCTAATACGTAACATTAGGGTTTTATAAAAATCTTTTAAAGCAGATAAACAATAGTAATTCAAACCGATGAAAGAATGTGAATAATAAACTATAATGAACTATTAATAAATTATAATTAATAAAAAAATATAAAAAAACTGTAAAAGGAAAAAGAGTTTATTTATTACTTAATAAAAGATATGAATCATTTTCATTATTATCATATTCTATCATATATCGAAGATTATCATGACATCACCACATTTATTTGTATTAACCATCGTTGTCAACAATCTGTATCGACACTTCCTTACTATCATTATAAACAACCACATCCACAAATGATATTTCCTTCTTTAGTAAATGTTGCATTTGATTTTCCTATAAGTACTTTATTTCTACAAGAATTAACTTATAAAGCATCTAACTTGTTTTCATTATCATTTGTTATTAATAAAATTAATATCAAACCTTTTATATCTACTGATAAAACACTTCAAATTTTCCAAACAAAGTTATTAAATCAACTTAAAGGTATTAACATTAGTTTAAAAATTAATTCAAATACAAATTTATTTCTTGCTAAAAGCATATTGAAATTTACATCTCTTTCATTTACATATGATTCTTCAATTAATTTAACAACAATTAATTCAAATATTAAAGAATTAGATATTACATTAAACCAATATACTCCAATTGTTCCATTCCAATCATTTTTAAATAAGTTTCTTCTCAAAAAATTAATTATTAGAATTGAGTATGAGTGTCAATGGAATTTTATTCGTTCATTAGCTAAATTAGTAAAATCTATTAATGCCACTGGATTAATTTATGTATCAAACAAAGTTATTTATGAGTCTGGTGAAATTGATGATTTACTTATTAATATCCCACAAAACATATGCATTATATTTAATGATGGTTATATTGGGTGTAATGGATTTTCTGGTAGATTTGGAAAGTATGAAGAAGATAATATTATTCAAAGAGATGGAGACAGTTCAGTTATTGTTCCTATTCCATTACCAGAAATAACTCTTGACCATACTTCTTATACAACTCAATTAAAAACAATAGATTTATCTCAAAAAACGTGGATATCATCAGTAGAAACGTCATATAATTTGAATTATATTAAATTACCAACTTCTATCATTTCATTAAAATTATATAATCCTCCTTCATCTTTACCAATGAATTTAGTTCAATTACATATGGAAAATATAAATAATTCAATGGTAAATTTATCATGTGCTGCTTTTAATAAATTGATATTAAAAAAATGTAATATTGAAACATTACAAGTACCATCTACATTAACATTCTTTTCAAGTACTTATAATACTTTCTTAAAAGTAGGATTAAACTGTCAAATGAAAGAAGCAAATTTTAATTCATGTCAATTACCAATGTTATTAATTCCAACTACATGTACTTATTTAAATGTTTATTGTTCTCGTTTACCATTTGTTCAATTAACTTGTTTAAAACAATTAGAAGTTTATAACTCTGATTTCTCTAAATTAGCAACAACAACTCGTTTATCACAATTAACTGGACTAACGTTTATATCTAAAACAGAACCTGAATTTACTTCTTTAAATGAACTTCCAATTCTTAAATATTCAAATGCATTAGTTCAATGTAATCTTCAGCATGTCTGTTTCTCTAAACTTATTGCTCCTGGATTAAAACAATTAACAATTGATTTTGTACAACCAGTTCTTATTTCTGAAAATAATAACAAATCTCTCCTTACTTCATCAGATATTAATGAAGATACTTTACCTTCAATTCCAGAAAAATCATCTGTTCTTGTTTCACCTTCTTTTATAGTCCCACGTTTAAGAGAGTGTTATTTAAAAGGTATTCTATCTTTACAATCACCAATAGATTCATGGAGAATTTATATTGATGGATGTAATGATATTATTTTAGGTGCAGCAAATGGTGTACATTTAAAAAATTGTCATGGTAAAATTAATTTTAATAATGAAAAGAATGCATCAGTAATTTCATCACTTTCTTTATATAATTGTTTCTTTGATAATAACAGCTTTCAAAAACTTAAAGCTGTTCAACATTTACGTATATACATCACTGGTAATTTTAAAGTTTCTGAATGGAGATATCAATCTTTTAATCAGTTAAATGATATTCTTTTATCAGCTAAAAGTATAAATTTAGGATCTATTGTTATTCCTTCTTCTGTTACTTCATTATCAATTACAAGTGAGAAAAAGAAAGGAAAATTAACTCAAACAACTATTAATCAATTAAAAATTCTTTCATTAAATTAATCTTATGTGAATTGAATCTATTTTTACTAATCTATTTTAAAAATAACTTTAATTCTATTATATCTAAAAAAATATTTAATCTAAACCCCTTCTTCTAATGGAGCATATGTTGCACGCTCATTGATTTTTGGAGCTTTTTTAACAAGTAAAAGAAGTAATGTTATTATAGCAGATATTACAAAAGACGGAGATACAGCAAACATAAAATAATGAACAATATTCCCATCATTTTGTTTTTCTGGATTATAGCATAACTCATGAACTAATAAGAATAATGAATTTGATATAAATTGTGATACCGTTAATGAACCATTTACAATACCTAAAAAGAATCCAAATTTATCAGGTTCAACTACAGAACGAGTTAATGCATAAGGTGTTGCATTTAATTGACAATAAACTAATGCAGCTGATAATAATGGAATTAGAGATACACAATATGCTAATGGATCAAATGAATCAGTATGTTCATTTAAATGAATCGGAATATAATACAAAGTTGATGTACAAAAAGCAATAAGATTAAATATAAAGAATGTTATTTCAGGTATCTTATTAATAAAGAAAAGAACTAAAGAAGTTATTGATAAGGTAATAGCAAATAATAATTTATTGAAGTTATAAAAAACATATGAATCATTTATATGATAAAATAAATAAGTGTTATACAATAATTGTGTATTTTCTTTCATTGGAGTCCAAGAAATCCAACCAAAAAATACAACTATAAGAATTAAATACATGTTTTTATTCATTGAAATAAATGACTTCCATATATTTTTTATATGATATAACGGTGATTCTCCTCCAGACATAAAGGTAGTTTCTTTTGCAAAATGACAAAATGTCCATACACATATTGGTAAAATAATTATTGATAATATATATAAACTAAATATTGTAATTAAACGAACATTCATATATTTTATTTGTTGATTTAAATTATCATTATTACGTTCACTAAAATCATTAAAAGAAATACATACAATTGAAGATATTCCATAAAAAAGTGTTTGTGCTAATCCTGTCATTAATGATGACATTAAATTAACTTGATTTTGATTTTTCGAATCAAATTCATCTAAAATAAAAGATCTATATGATAATTGAATCATATTAATACCTATTGTCCATACTACAAATCCAATAACATAAAATATATCACTTGTAATATAACCATTTGTTAATATATTTTCACTACTTGAATCAATACAATTAATAAATAAAATAGGATATATTGATGAACATACAATAATAATCGCACCAATTAACCATACTCCTAAACCAATTAACATAAATGGCCTTCTTCTTCCCATATTAAATGTAGCATGATCACTCAATGCTCCTATAATTATTTGAACAAATAATCCAATAACTGGACCAATTGTCATTTTTATTGAAGTATGTGCATTTTGATTAAATTGAATAGGAGGTAAGTCTGAAATAAAAAATAACGTTGAAATTGGAACATTATCTAAAGATAAGTATATTAAATTTATTCAAAGTATTCTTTCTCTATAAATGTATTTAACAAACATGCAAATTCAATTCCAAATTGAACTAAACTAACTAATACAAAATATAAATACATTTTTAAGGTTCTTTTCATTTTCTTCTTTCAAACTATTATTCTATTTCAATTTTAAGTTTTCATTCATTTATTTTTTTAATTTTTTATTTTATTAAATAACGGTATTATTTTTTTATTCTATTTGTTTTTTTAGTTTATTAATAATTCATAAAAATATTGGTTATTTTGTTCATTTTATCTGGTTGTAATCAAAAACATCCTCAATAACTCCTTTTCTTGTATCTTTTTTAAAAAGTACCTCTTTTCTAATTGTTTTTTTTTAATTTTTTTGTTGTTTCATTGTTGGATTTAAACAATAGAATTTTATTCATTTGATAAGAAAACAACACTTAAAACAATTTTTTTTACTTCAAATATTCTTTATATTAATATCAAGAAACTTTCTGTGTTCTATAAGAAATACAATAATAATGATAAAATCCTTTGTTGAGAGTAAAAGAATTGAAATAATTTTAAAGTGTATTAAGTTAAAAAAATTACATTATCAATCGTACTATTTATTGAACAAACACTAAAGTATCAATTAAATATTATAGTTTTATAGTTATCAATAACTATTAATTACTTGTAAAATAAAAAAAAATATGTTTTTTGTTTAAAAATAGTTGAATTGAAACTAAATATTTCTTTATTTTTTTCTTTGAACAAAGAAAATTCTATTACTTTAAATCAAATAATACAATAAACTTAAAGAACTAAATTTTATAATATCCCAAAATTTCATAAAAAATACCCAAGAATTTCACTAGAGTTTTATATTGATGAGATCTAGAAGATCGAATATGTTCCAACTATCTCATCTAAAATAAAAAGAAAGACAGTAAACTCAAAAATCTAATTTCAATGTCTAAGATTATTATTCCTGATATTCCTAAAATCTGTAAATCTACTACTTCTCATTTCTTAAAATATTTTAAGGCTAACCAAAAACCTCAAGACTCAATTGTTTTCTTAGAAGGTGGTCTTGAACTTCCATTTTATGATACTGATGGTGAATATCTTTTTAGACAAGAAAGTAATTTCCATTATTTATTTGGTGTAAAAGAAGCTGGATTTTATGGAATTGTTAAGATGGATGGCACTCGTATTCTTTTCCTTCCACAATTACCTGAAACACTTCAGATATTCCTTGGACCTAATTTACATCCTGAAGATGTAAAAAGAATGTATGGTGTTGAAGAAGCATATTATGATTCTCAAATTGAAGAAGTTTTAAGTAAATTAAATCCATCTATGATTTATTTGTATGCTAAAGGAGTTAATTCAGATTCAGGAAGCCAACCAGCTCCAATTAGAACTAAAGCTGTTTATAAATATAATACCAATGAAACTGAATTACATGATGTTTTATTTGAAGCTAGAACTGTTAAGACTAAAGAAGAAATTGATTTTATGAGATTAGCTATTAACGGAACTGCTGAAGCACATCGTGCTTGTATGAAATATTGTAAACCTGGAATGTATGAATTTGAGCTTGAAGCTGAGTTTTATCGTGTTGCTTATGGACAATATGGTATGAGAAACTTTGGTTATTTCCCTATTTGTGCTTCAGGAAATAAAGGAGCAACTATGCATTATGGACATGCTGGTCATCCAAACAGAAAAATTATGGAAGATGGTGAAATGGTATTAATGGATGTTGGAACTGAATGTCATAGATATGCAACTGATTTAACATTAACATATCCAATTAATGGAAAGTTTACTGAACAACAAAAGACTATTTATAATATTGTTTTAAGCTGTAATAGAGGATGTGAAGCAGCTATGAAACCTGGAGTAAAATGGTATAATATTCATGAACTTTCTAATAAATTAATGCTTAAAGGATTACTTGAAGCAGGATTAATTAAAGGAGATGTAGAAGAAATGTATAAAAATGATGTACATTTCTATTTTATGCCACACGGAATTGGACATTTAATTGGTATTGATACTCATGACGTTGGAGGATTTAATCTTGGAATTCCAAGAAGTGATAATTGTTCACTTAAAAAGTGTCGTTCTAATAGAGTTCTTGAAGCAGGAAATATTTACACTGTTGAACCAGGAATTTATTTCATTCCATTCTTATTAGAAAGTGGTTTTAAGAATGAACAAGTAAAGAAATATTTAGTTGAAAATGAAATTAGAAAGTATTGGAACTTTGGAGGTGTTAGAATTGAAGACGATGTTTTAGTAACTGAAGAAGGAGTTGAAGTATTAGATAAAGATATTCCAAGAACTGTTGAAGAAATTGAAGCATTTATGAAGCATTAAATTTTAATTACAAATTAAGTATTTCTTGTTAGTATTTTATATTATAAATTTATTATAAATTATATTGTTAAAATAGAAGAAATCTAAGTAATTTATTTTTAATGAAAAAAGAAAACCCTAATAAAAGAACTAAAAAATTGAATTATAAGATTTATATAAAACCTAAGAATATAAAAAGAAAAGGACTAAATAATTAACAATAAATGACTAGATTATATATTGGATCACTTGCTTATTCAGTTACTGATGAATCATTAAAAGCTGCTTTTGAAAAATTTGGAACAGTTACTGATTGTTTGTTATTTAATTTTTTTTAGAAAAAAAGAAAAGAATAATTAGATATAGGTAAAGTTGTTACTGATAGAGACAGCCAAAGGTCTAAAGGATTTGGATTTGTTACTTTTGAAAAAGATGAAGATGCTAAAAAGGCTATTGAAGAAATGAACGAACAAGAACTTGAAGGTAGAAGAATTAAAGTTGATGTTTCTAGACCAAGAGAAGAAGGTAGAAGAAGAGACTATAGACATGATGATAGAGATAGTAGACGTGACTATCGTAGTAGAGATGACCATTATAGAAGAGACTATCATCATGACGATAGAAGAGATTCCCGCCGTGATGAAAGAAGAGACTCTCATAGAGATGATGATAAGAATTATGACTGATTCCCTTGATTGGTATAAGAAATTTTGGTTCAAAAATGATGTTATTTCCTTTCTTTCTTCTTTGGAAGAACTTTACCTTTCAAAAAAAAGAAAGAATGATTCTCTTAAGATATTGTCCAATTTGAGGGATAAAAGAAAAATAAGATTCATATAGAAAAAAGAAATAGATTTAAAATGATCTCTTGATGGTTCATTGTAATTTTATATATAGATTTAGTTAGTAAATCTTATTGGACTTGAATGAGTATTTTGTAACATAGAAAATAATTGAAAAATATTATGAATGAAATAAATTATTTTTAATTTTAATAAGAAGGGGGTTTTTAGAAGATTGAAGAATTATGTTTATTATTTCCTAATGTTTTCTCATAAATAGTTTTTAATGCACTTGAACGTTCTCTACTACAAGAAGATTGTAATACACCACTTATAGAAGTAGTATAAGATACATTAATTATAATAGACATTATGAACTCTTTTAAATATTTTTTAGATACAATATAATCATCTTTAGGTAAAGACATTTCAATTTCTTTTAAACTGCCTCTTGCCCATACTTCTATTCTATAGTTTGAAGAAGGTAATGGATTTACAACAATAATAACTTGAGTTCTAAATTGAACACCTGACAAATTAATTCTTTCTCCTCCATCTTTAAATACAATAATAATATTCTCTTGATTAAATAATTTGGTTGCACTTCTTTCTGTTAGTAATGGGACAACATGATACATTATTTCAAAACAATCTTTTCTTGAATAAACTGAATAACGTCCATCAACTCTAGTTGTGGTAGTATCTAACCCACCATTATATCCATTAAAATTTAATAATTCAATTCCATTTCCAATATTTCCAAGAAACTCAAATAATTTATCATCACATTCTCTATTTTCAGTTACTAATTTCCATTCTGTTAGTCCATTAGAACAAACAACCCCAACACTAATTTTTTTTGGAGTGGTTACTTCTTCAAATTGCAACATTTCAGTTTCAACTTTTTTTGTTATAGGATACATTTGAACTGCAGATTTTAAATATGATTTGACTATTTTTGTTGCTCTTTCTTTCGTACAAGTATTTGAATTAGGAAACGCATATCCCCTAGGAATAATGTCTTTAATTTCTCCATCACTCCAACGAAGTAATAGTCCTACATCATCTTTTGGATATTGATTAAATTCTAATGGCATTGAGTCAAATTCTTTAATAGCTAAGAAAACAACACGTAAATTTGAATCCATTCCTATCCATTTTGAAATTTCTTCTTCAGTTTCACTTTTAAAATATCCATCCCACCATGGTTCTTTAGGATAAAGAAATGTTCCTTTATCATTATTACCAGAATATTTAGTCCATTTACCACTTATATCAAAAAGTTGTGGTGTTCCAAATTCTTCTTTTAAAGGAAAATAGCCCCAATAATTTTCTATTTTTGAGGTTAATGAAGGTAATTCAACTGTTAATATATTTAACGGTTTATATTCTGTTATTTGGTTATTTATTTTTTCTTGTTCTTGTTTTGATTTATCTAAACAATAATTAATAGGACTACTACCTCTTCTTTTACTTTCATTTTCTTCTTTAATAATACTTTCTTTTGTTGTTTTATTTAATGTTTTAAATCGTTTAGTTATTTGATGTTCACTAGAAGAATCTTTTAGTGTATTTTCATCTTTTTTAATAAATTTAATAAAGGTTGCATCTATTTCTTTAGCCATTTTTTTTTCTCTCATTTCAATTCCTTCAGAAATAATTTTATTTCTTTGTAGATATCTTTCAGATTGTTCTCTTTTATAACTATTTTGTGGCATTGATGCATAAATTTCATTCATTTTTAAATTAATTTCAGCAAATGCTTTGTCATGAACTTTTAATAATTCTTTTCTTTGTTTTTCAGTTACAGTTTTACCTTCTTTAATTAATGCCTCAAGAGAAGCTATTTTTTCTTCTTTTTCTTCTTGAAGTTTAATGATATATGACTTTTCATTATAAACAGAAGATTTTTTATTTTCAAGATTCCATTGAGTTTCTGCTTCTCCAATTAATTTTTTTGATTGTTCTTCAAATCTAAATAATTGATTTTTTAGTCTTTGTGTTTCTTCTGTCTTTTTTTGAATTATTTGTCTAAGTTGTTCTGTTATTAATCTATAAATATCTCTTTCTTTAGTTACATAAAAAATCATATTTTCTTCTTTATGTGGATCTTTTTCTTGTATAGCATTTACCCTATGATATTCATTAATAAGTTGTTGAACTGTTTCTAAACTCATATCTTAATTTTTAATTTTTGTTCTTTTTTAGTTTCATTTTTCAAACGTTAAATTTTAATTAAAAAATATTTTAAAAAAACTTTTTCTGTTAAGGGAATTAGTTTCAATATTATTCTTTTTATTTTTTTCTCTAATTTATTTAATCTTCAATTCTTTTTTAATTTTTTATTTAAGATTCTTTAATTTTGTTTATTTGATATTTACGAAATATATTAAAAAAAGTTATATAAAAAATATTAAAAATTTAATTTAATAATTCTAAAGCCGCATGAAGATACTGTGCTGAGGTTTTAGGGTCTTGAAAATCTAATGAAGATATTGCAGATTGGATATATTTTTCAGCTAAATTTTGTTTTTCTAAAAGAGATAATCTAGAAATATCAATTTGAGGATTTGATGAAATGACATGATTTTGAAGTGGAGATTGTGAGTAATCACTTTTCTTATCTTCAAAAGATTTTATTGGTTGTTGACTAGATTGAGATAAGTTTTGTTGATTTATAAGTGGAGTAGAAGCAGGTTGGTCAATAGGTTTTTCTTCTGTAATATAATGGATTGTTTTATTATCATCAGGAATAGAAACAGGTTCTTCTATCATAGGAGAAGAAAAAGATTCTTTTAATTTAGTACATTCATTAGCTTTGATTTTAGCGTATGTCTGCATTTTTTTACTCGTATCATTTAATGGGAAAAATAATTCATATAAATCAAATAAATAAGATGAAACAAGAAATGTTTTTCCTATTTGTCTAATTTGTTAAAGAGTAAATTGGATAACTATTGTAATTAAAAATTTATAATACCAAACAAACAATGATGGACCTTTTTCTTTTAATTGTTTGTCAGAATTTTGTAATAACATAACAGCTTTTCTTAACAAATATTCAGCTGGTGATTTAGTTGACTCTTTAAATTGAATAAATTGTGGTTTATTTTCAATGACATTTGTTAGTAAATCTATTTGTGAACTTTTTAATTCTTTATCTTCTCCTTGATATTGTTCTTCAATCAATGTTTTTGCTTTCACACAGAAATGAAATGCAATAACTGGGTCAGTATTTTCAAATGACTGAGCTAATTTTAAATATGTTTTTATATTTGATGGAAATTGTTCAATATTTAATGACATTTTTTTCTTTCTAAAATGGTTTTTAAGTTCTTTTTTTTTCTCTTTTTTTATTTCATTTCTTCTTTATTTTAGAGTTTATAAAATAAATAACATTTTGTTCTTTAAATGAATGATAAAACCATTATTGTGAAAATTATTCTAACTTCAAAAAAAGTAGCTAATAATATTAAATTTGTTCATTAGTTAATTATTTCATTTCATAGTTATTATTTATTATTTTTATGAATATATCGTTTAAATTTTAATGAAAGATCTAATGACTTTTATATCTTAAATATTAATTCATAGTTTTTTTATAATCTAAATTATATTTAATTATTTAATATGACAATAGTTGTCTTTTTTATTATCTTTTTAATAAATTAAAACTTTTAATGTTACACTTGAATATTTCTATTCATTCATTTAAAATATTTTATTCTATAAAATTTTTAACTGTAAATACAAATATCTTTAAAAATATGAATAAATTAAATCCATTTACGTTATCATTATTATTTATATTATCACATCATTTTCTAATAATTGACATTTAGAATTAGATATTAATACATTTATCTGTTTACTAAAAAAATAAAACCATAATATTGTTTTTTCAATGAAAAAAAACAATAAGAAAGTTGTTTTATAAAGAAAAAAAAAATACTAATAACACAAATTAAATGTTTTTGGTTATTATTTTGGTATTTAAAAAACATGAATAAGTACGGAGTATGGAGGAAATTTTCAATACACAGAGAAGTTTATAAATATTAGTTTCTTTAACAAGTTTTAATAGTTTAATGTTATAAGACTTTTATTTTAAAAGGTAGATTAGAATAAAAATGGAAATTTAATAAAAAAACTAATATTTTTATATTAAAAAAAAAGCAAATAAAAATAAAAAAAAAGAAAAATATATTCAGAATAAAAACCGAGATGGTAGTTAAGATTGAATTGAGTGGAGGGTTAGAATACGATGCAAAAACTACACACTTTGAGATTGAAATAGGAAATATCAAAACGATGAGAGATGTTATTCATAAAATTAAAGAGATTCAAACAGGACTTGCTCCAATTTTTACAGAAGAGTCTGTGTTTGTGTTTTGTTTAAATAATTATTACTTAGAAAATTAATAAAATGCAGAATACCTGGTATTATTGTGTTAATTAATGATGCAGATTGGGAATTAGTCGGAATGCTTGACTCAGAAGTTCATGATGGAGATGTTATTTCATTAATTTCATCTATTCATGGAGGATAATTAATTTATTCAAGAAATATAAGTTTATTTAAACAATGAATTTAAGAAGAATGTATTTCAATTAAAGACTGAATGCAAGAAATTCTTCAAGAGTGATATATCCATCACCATTAGCATCTGCCTTCATAATTTGGTCAACAACTTTTTCACAACCAAACTTCTTAAAGAAGGTAGTAACTTCTTCTTTAGTTAATTTTCCATCACCATCAGCATCCATAAGTTTATAAAGAACTTTTAAACCAACTTTCTCATCTGAAAGGTCTTGTTCTTTAACAGCAGCTGCAAACTTGGTGAATTCGGCTAAATCAATTTCTCCATTTCCATCAACATCAATGGCTTTAAAAATAAGTTGAAGAAGTTGTTCATTCTTAATTGGTCTTTTAGAACTAACAAAAGCTTTTACTTCTTCATATGAAACAGAACCATCACCATTAGCATCAAGTTGTTTAAATAATGCTTCAGCCATAATCTTTTGTAATGAATTTATACTTGAACGTAATGTTTTTATATGGAGGATTGACGAAAGTCCACGTACCTTTTTCGCAGATATAATCCAGCTTTGTTGATTTTAAACCATTCAATTTCATTGTTGCTAAACAAGTTTCCTCATTGCTTAACGTCAAGATTTTTAAGATCTTTGAATCTTTATAATTTTAATGAAATTTTTTTTTTAATAAAAATGTTATATAATTTTTATATTTATTGTATTTATAACATTTTTATTTCTTTAATTGTTTTTTTAAATGTTAAAAGATTCACAAAAAGAGTTGTGAAATAATTAAAAAAAACCTAAAAGAACTTTTCAACATTTATTCAATCTTAACAATTCAATATGACAACTGACCCAAGTGTCATTCGACTCACACAAATTCTTGCATCTTATACAAACTCACAAGTGACACCATTCAAATTAAAAATGAATGTATCTCAAAATGACTCAGAAAGAAAATTCATCGAAAATTATATAAAAGAATGTGGAGGAAATTTACCTACACAACAACAACAACCAACGAGTCTATTTTCAACTGGGTTAGGATCTTCAACTGGACTTTCAACTGGATTAGGATCTTCAACAAGTAGCGGATTTGGATTATCATCATTTGGAGGATTTAATACATCATCAAGTGGAGGATTTGGTTTTAATCAAAACCAACAAAATCAAAACACAACACAAACGGTAAAGCCTGTACCAGGAGAACCTGATTTAATGGAAATTGAAATATGTTTCTTTAAAGGACTTGAAATGAGATCAAAGTATCAAGATGAACGACAAGTAGAATTAATCAGTGAATTAACTAAATTACAAAAGGATGTTCAAGACATAATGAAATCTATTCAAGAACAAATAATTGAAAAATATGAATCTATGGCAGAACATGCATTAAAGATGGATGAAGAAATTATTGCTGTATTAACTAGAGATGGAGACCCCGATGCTGATGTATTACAAAAGTTTAAAGAGTTGTTAGGTAAGATTGATGTTACAGACACAGAAAAGAAAGTCCAAATGATGCTTAACATTGTCAATTCTAAACCCCTTCCAAGAAGTGATAATGGAGAAACATTAGACAAAGAAAGTTCAAAAGAAGTTGTACGTTTATTGAGTGAAGAACAAAATATTATTATTTCTTTAACAAATGAAATTAATGAACTTAAAGCCAAATATGAACAATTGAAACTAAAAGTTAGTAAAATGAAAATCCATTAAAAATGATTTATTTTAATAAATTTAAATTTGGTTTATTTCATTAAAAAGAAAAATATATAAAATAATTTTTTAATATAATAAAAAAATGTGAAATATTAAATTATGTAAAAATAAATCATTTAATGAAAGATATATTTTTTTTGAAAAAAGAATTATAAAATTGTTAAATTACAATAATATTAAGATATGAAACAATTAGATAGATATTCAATGATGATTGTTATGAAATATTTTAATGACATTAATGACTTTTATAATGGAATTATTGTATGTAAAAAATTTAAAGAAATACCTTTAATGTTTCATTTTAATCCAATACCATATAATAAACGAGTAGATAAATTATTTCCAAATATACAAACACAATATGTATTTTCATATTTTGATGAAATAAAAGAAAATGTAGAAAAAAGAATAGCATGGTTTAGTTATAGTTACAGTAATTATTTATTAAATCAAGATAATTTTATTCATTTTAATAAAATTATTTTATCATCAAGTACTCTTCTTAAAAATGAAATTTTACCAGAAGTTATAACTGACCTTGCAGATAATTGCTTTCAAGGAACAAATTTTAATTCAATTATTCTTAGTAGTAGAATAACGTCAATAGGTAATTCTTGTTTTTCTTCTTCTAAAATAATATCATTATCATTACCTCCTTATCTTAGAGAATTACCTTATCGTTCTTTATATAATTGTTTTTATTTACAATCAATTTTATTACCTCAAGAACTGATTTTTATCAGAGAACAATGTTTTACTTCTTGTTCTAGACTTACGTCTGTTATTTTATCTAATTGGATAACTTCTTTAGAAACAGAAACATTTAGTCGATGTTCTAGTCTTATTGTTATTTCTTTGCCTTCTAAACTTCAGAGAATAGAAGATTCATGTTTTAGTTATTGTACCGCTTTAAAAGATTTAACTCTTCCTTCAACATTAACTCATATTGGTGCTTTCGCATTTTCTCATTGTTCTTCTCTTACACAAATTAAATTACCACCTTTATTAGAAGTTATTAAAGATTATTCATTTAGTTTTTGTTCTTCATTAAGTCAACTTACCTTTCCAATGAATTTAAAATATATTTCTCCTGGTTCTTTTTCTTGTTGTTGCTCTCTTCATATTTTAAATATTCCAAATTCACTTACTTTTATTCATCCAACTGCTTTCAATTCTTGTTATTCAAAAATATTAGATATTCCCTTTAAAAAAACTAAAAAACGTTCAAGAAAAACAATGAACTTTATTTGCAATGCTATTCAATAATCATCATTTGTTTGTTTATCATTCTTTTTTTTTACAAAACAATACTTTTGTTCATATTTTTAAAAAAAAGCGATAGAAATATGAAGATCTAAAAAACTAAACTGTGAATTATTAAAATTTAAGATTCATTCAAATGAGCAAAAAATCACATAGAACAGAAATTAAACCACCAACAACAGTAACAAGAAGTCATATTGGAATAAATCCTAAAACTGGAGAAATAGAATTTGAAAACTTACCTTCTACATGGGTAGCTTTCTTTAAAAAAGCAGGGATTAGAAAGAAAGATTTATCAGATAAAGAAACAAGAGATAAAGTATTTAAATTAATGGCAAGTTCTCATATAGTAAATGACATGCAAAAAGAAGTTAATAATAACCCAAGTACTGCACGTGCATTAAGAAATTCAGTCCGTCAACAAAAAAAGATTCCTGAAGGCATAACACTAACTCCAATTACCCCTGGATTTATTCAACAACAAAAAAAGAAAGAAGTAGATAGAACGCTTAACCAATGTACTTCTGAAAATTCATCTTCAAAGAAAGAAATTAAAGACCAACCTAAATCTGTTACTAAACAAAACTATTCAAAACAAAAACAATCTCAACCAATACAAAAACCCGTTTCATTTGAAACTGGAAAGAAAAAACCAGAACCTAAACAAACTAATACCACTACACCAGTTAGGGGAAAAGTTACGATTCCAAAGGTTTTTTGTGGAGAAGAACAACAAGAAAAACCATTAACATTTTATGAAAAAATGCAACTTAAAGAAAAAGAAAAACCTAAAACTAGTAATGTCACAAATAACTCTACTCTTGTTAAACAAAAACAAGAACAAAAAAAGTCTGACTTCTCTACTAAACCTACATCTGCTCATACTTATTCTTCTTATACTTCCCATTCAACTCAACCTGTATCTTATAATACTTCTCATAATGTGAAAGAAACACCTAAGTCATCTACTGTAACTAAAAAGGAAAATAGCTTAGAACTTAAAACTTCTACTACCACCCAACACAAAGATGATAAAATTAATCACACTTCTTCTACTAGAGCTAGTCAACAACCTTCATTTACAAAACCAAAAATAACACCTTCACAGTCAAACACATCTTCGAGGTCTCAAGTTAGTACATCAAAACCAATCAATTTTGAACAAAAACAAAGTAACGACGTTGATATGAGTAAAGTTTTTGCTGAACAAAGAAGTCAACTAAAAAAAACAGGTCCACAAAGGCAAACACCTTCTGTCACTAAATCTACACCTTCTACACAATTTGCTCCTAGTAGCCAGTCTTATTCTAATCCTAAATCAACTACAAAAACATATACTTCTTATTCTTCTTCTACAGTGCCAAAGCCTGTACATTCAACAAGTTCTATTCAACCAACTACTAAAGCCACATCCTATAAAACTGGTTCAGTTGCAAATTCTTCTCCAAGAACTAAACTTAATACAAATTCTCCTTTTTCATCTCAAACAAATGAACAACAAAAAGAAGAGTCAAAGCCAATTATTAAGAAAGAAGAACCAAAACCAATTATTAAGAAAGAAGAACCAAAATGTGACATTACAGAAGAAATTCATACCGTTCCATTACCACCATCAACTGTTCCTAGTTTTGTTCCACCACCACCACCTCTTTCAGAAGATGCTTATACGACACAGACAACGTCTCCTAACTCTGCTCCAACTGTGTCATTTACAGATTTAATATATGCACAAAGCAATAACTTGAAACCAACAGAAATAGAAGAACGACAAAAAGAAGAGGATGAAGTTATTACTGCACTTCGTAATATTTTATCAGATAGAAGAAAGGACATGAATATGGAAGATAATGAAGAAGATAGTGAGGATGATTGGAGTGATGATTGGTAATATTTTTTAAATAGTAATTGACTTAAAAATGTTAATAAACGAAAAGAATGTTTTTATGATAACAAGCAAAAGAAAGTTTAAATTAAATCCAATCAATTTTATTTTGAACGATAATGAATAAATCCTTCTATTGCAAGAGTCAATGAAGTTATAGATACAAAAAAGCAAATTATTGTAAGAATAGACTTAGTATAAGTCCAGTTGTCTATAATAAATTGAGCCTTATTATTTGATAAACTAATTCCATTAATAAGAGATACAAAAATATGACTTAAGGATTTAGTATATTGTTGTACTAATCCCATTCTATAAGCAATAAAATCAAATACAGTAAGAAATCCTTTAAAATTTGAATTAATATCAGTAAGGAATTTTTGAATCATCTTTATTTCAGGTAAGAATAAATAGAATTGTTGTTTTAATTTAGTTATTTCATCAACAAATGCATCATCAATAATAAATCCAAGTATAGAATCATTCACGCTTGTAATAAATTGAACAAAACCTTCAATAATTTCAGAAAGAATAACCACCAATTGATAGTCATGTTGAATTGAATTATTAATTTGAAGAATTGTTTCGTTAACGTTTGAAGCCAAAATTTGAGAAAATACATTTGCTCTTTTTAAACTTAAAGTGATTGTATCCACATTATTCATAACTTCATCTACTGGTTTTTGTACTGTTTTAAAAAATTTTACTACTTCGTTATTTTGATTTGGATCAGGAAGAGTAATTGGATATCCCCAAATAACAACTATTAAAATTAATGAAATTATAAAGAAGAGGCTACTGACGATACTAATAATTAAAGGAAGATAATTCTTTTTGTCATTCTCATCAATAAGTTGGTATGAAGAGTTCATAAATAAAATATTTTAAGTTCTTTTGAAAAGAAAGAGTAATAAGAAAAAAAATACAACTCAATATACTCTGTTAGATTTAATGTTGAAATATTGCTCTTTCTTGTTTATCAAAAACTATTGCTTCATGAATAAGTCTATGAATATTTGTAACATTTTTTGTTGGACATTGCATTAATCTCACAAGAATTTGTTCTTCTTCTTCTTCTTTACTACAATCTAACATTAACAATATAAAAATACTTCGAATAATAATTAAACCATTCCCAAAAGCAAAGATTCCATCCCATAATTGCTATTAATTGAATATAAATTTATAATTGTAAATATTTAATAAAATAAACAAACTAAAACTGTATCTAAAGGAAATTCTCTTGAAAATAATAACCGTAACCATTTAATTCCAAATGTTGTTGGTATAATTCCATTTTCATTAAATCTATCAAATATATTTTGATTAAATTTTTGTAAAGAGTTAAATAAATCATTACACATATTTTTTACTCCATTTGCTCCTTTTGAAAATATTGGTTGCATAAGAGCAATAAGATGTTCAATAGCAGTAAATGTATCATGTTCAGTAAATCCATTTTCGATGATTATTTGAAATGTACTTTCATATTCAGAAGGAAAAGGAATAGCACTGATAGCTTTTTCTGTTGGATAAAGTTCTGAAAAAGCGTAGTAAACAATTCCAACTAATTCATGAATTCCTTGTTGATATCCAACATCTGGGTGTTCAATAGCAAAAATTTTACATATTCTTTTTACTGAATTTCTTACTTCTGGATGAATAAAAAATTCAATGTCAGAATATAATCGTTCTATGTCTTGGTCAATTATTTCATCAAATTGAGTCGGTTTGTTATCATTCACAATAAAATAGTCATATCGCTCTCTCATAACTTCTAATATCCTTCCCCAACTTGGAGTAATTGGTAATGGTAATACATCAAGAAATGTTAACCATCCAAGTTTAC